TTCCTACTCCTGCCTGGGGTAGGGGGCTGGGCATGGAGCTGTGCTTGGGACCCTCTGGGGTAGGGACCCTCTGGTGGGCAGGGGTTCAGTCAGCACCTACCTAATGGGGGGGCCTACAAAGCGCATGTAAGGGACTGTTCTTGGGACCCTCTGGGGTAGGGACCCTCTGGTGGGCAGGGGTTCAGTCAGCACCTACCTAATGGGGGGGCCTACAAAGCGCATGTAAGGGACTGTCTCAGACAGCTGGAAATGGCTCCTTGCCCCATCCTCTGCCTGAGGCGCAAGGGGGCCCATGGAGGCTGGGCAAGGAGGAATGTGCTTGTGAGGTTTGTTGTCCTAGGATCCGTGGCCCCGTTCAATACCAAATGGCTTTGGCAGGGCTCTCAGAAATACTCGGCGTCCTTCTCTCCAGTCCCCTTTTGTAAAGCTTTAGGGTGTGCTCCAGACACTCCCCCCCCCCCCCCCCCCAGCAGGCTGTGTGTAGCACCTCTGGCCAGGTGCGCTTTGCCAGGGCTTTGAGGTGCGAGTTTGGGTCACGCTGCAGCTGCTCCGTTGCCAGAGAGGCGTGGGCCTGCCAAGAGGAGTCTCCCCCACCCTGGAATGCCCAGACTCTAGGCCGCTGGCTCCCAAACGTTTTGGCCTCGTGCCCCCTCTGATTTTTGGGGAACCCTCATGCCCCCCAAATAGCAGCAAAACTTGTTGTGGGGGGGAAGGAAGTGATGGAGGAGAAACAAAAATAGCAGCAAAACTTGGGGGGCCGAAGTTGGGGGAGGAAGTTGGGTTGCCTCATGCCCCCCTGGAACTTCTTCATGCCCCCCAGTTTGGGAACCCTACTCTAGGCCAGGGGCTCTCAAACTTTCTTCTCATGAGCCAGTTGATGAAAATTGTTGATGCCGCTGCCCGATATAATGTGACTAGAGAGTGTGGGCTCTGAGCTGGGGTTGAGGCTGGAGCTTTGGGGTGCTGGAGGGGGCTCTAGCTGTGGAGGGGCCTTATGGCCTCTCCTGGCACAACAAGCCATGCTGCCCCAGACGCAGCTAGCAGCAGGTTCCCAGCCAATGGGCACCCAGGGCAGGAGCAGTGCATGGAGCCCTGTGTGCTCTCCCCCACATGCCTAGGTAATGTGACTAGAGAGTGTGGGCTCTGAGCTGGGGTTGAGGCTGGAGCTTTGGGGTGCTGGAGGGGGCTCTAGCTGTGGAGGGGCCTTATGGCCTCTCCTGGCACAACAAGCCATGCTGCCCCAGACGCAGCTAGCAGCAGGTTCCCAGCCAATGGGCACCCAGGGCAGGAGCAGTGCATGGAGCCCTGTGTGCTCTCCCCCACATGCCTAGGGGCCAGGCCTGCTGCAGTGCCAGGACAGACCCGCTCACCTGATCCCCATGCAGCACCAGGACCCAGCGCCCGCTGTGTGAGCCAGTGGTGGATTGCGAGCAAGCCCTAGCTGGAACCCCCTCTCTGGCCCAGCAGTGCCAGGCTGCCTGCCTGGCTCCAGAACACAGGTTCCAGCTGGCAGTGCTTTGGGGTGGATACCTGGGGGAGGCTTTGAAAAGAACATGCTGCTTCTCTCTGCTAAAGGGCCAGCTGTGCTGGCTGCTAATGAGACTTGGTCTTAGAGCCTGACGATCCCGGGAAACCCTCACATCTACCAGGCCCCGATGGGGAAACTGAGGCACGTAGCGGCCACAAGGTGCCTGCCAGGCAGCCTACGGCAGAACCAGGACTCCAACCCCTATTGCCAGAGATCTAGCCTGGTGCACTGAGCGTGGGAGCAGCCTTGCCCCCCCAGGCTGAGCCTTGGCCTTTCACAAGTGGCTTCCTAGCAGGGCCCTGTGTGGGGAGCAGCAGGAACCTGCAGAGCAGCCTGGCCCACTTCCCGGTCTGAGCCTCCCCTGTGTGCGCTCTGGAAGCAGGCCAGTGGCAGGCTTTCCCCCCACGCTGCCTGGGCAAAGCCCCGCTGGGAAGCGGCAATAGATTCAGTCCGGTGAGGGATTTAATTAGTTCTAACTCCTGCCCAGAAAGCCAGAGGCAAGAGGAAAATCATTTGCTGCAG